AGTGGTTACACAGGAAGGGTGAAGTTCCTCAAGTCATCTCCGATGGACGGAAGTATCTCCCTGAGAAATGTTACCGAGCGAGATGTTGGCCAGTACCACTGCTCCATACAGTCATTTCCATTAGGATCATGGACCAACAATGTCTTTGTGAAAAAAGCAGGTACTTCACAAAATGTTCACTTTGACTGTTCACTGAAAATACATTTTTAAATTACTTTTCTGGGCCGTCAACCACTGTGTCCTTTGTCTTGCAGTGGACTTTGATGAAAGCAAAGTTGACACAAGCATCAGAGTTAAGAAAGGTGGTAATGTCACGATTAGCTGCAACCATCTAAGCAACAGAACACTCCAGCATGTGGTATTTGAGATGGTGAGAGGGAGGAAGGTCCAGACCATGGCTCAGTGCCAGAGCCTGGCCGGCAGCAGCCTCAAGGCCATCAGCTATAAGGACTTGGCCCACGTCAGCTGTAACAGCATTCTGAATGCCAGTCTGCAGCTCACCAACGTGACTGAGGAAGACGGTGGCCTCTATCGCTGCTTATTTGATATGGAAGTTGTGGGCCAAACCACATTGCTGACTGTTTCTGAAGGGGGTGAGCATGAACATCCCAAGTGTGTCATGATTTGTCTTTAAGGAAGTTCCCAGTTTCTATTATCCATTTACAATAATGGATCATAATCAAGATTAACTAAACAAAGTCTGTTTGCAAGCTACCTGCACATTTTTTTCCTAAATCAAATTACTCTAAGTCAAACTGAGGCATGCTGACACATAACCATCCTGGCAACCCAGAAGAACCATAGTGTCTTTACACTACACAGCTTTGAGGCTGCACCTCACAGGATGTGGCATAGTTGAGACAGAGCAACTTAAATGCTGGTCTTCTTACTAAATGCACTTGTAGATATAAATATAATACACACACACTGCCTTATTAGTGTCCAAATCACAATACAGACGCTCCTCTACTTACGAATGAGTTACGTTCCGAACGGCCATTCATAACTTGAAATGTTCGTAAGTCCGTTATTCAACATCACATTTACACAAGTACAAAGAACTAGGATGCTGGGAATACGCACGCAACGCGGCTGCGTGGTGGGAGTAGCGGCCAGAAGTTGTACTAGGCGGAATCGGCATGCAGAAAAAAAAATTGATGTTGCGGACAGGAAACGGGAGCCCAATGAACACAATTTGGACTTGTAGTCCTCGTATGTCTGAAAGTTCGTAAGTAGAGGAACGTCTGTACTGAGAAGCTTCACAGCTAGACAGCGCAATATAAAACAATATAAAATCAATGTGATTTAAACAAAAAAAAGAACTCAACGGGTTCAACATGGCTGATAGTTTTCACTTTTTACATTAAGCTCTGTTGTTGAGTAGAACATCAATGATGCGCTTTAGATATCGAAATAAGCGCTGGCGTTTTTATTCTCGTTATAGTAGGTGGTAACCTGACCGTTCAGCACATGATCTACATCGGAGCTGGAGCAGCTGGACTTGTTCTGGTGTCACTGGTAGTGATTGCAGTGATGTTCTTCTGGCACAGGTAGGACCTTCTGCCGGTTAAGTGTATTAATTGTTACTATTCTCCTTCCATTCCTTTGAAGTGCTGCATCATTTTGCAAAACATAGACTGACTTCTTTGTATGGTCATTTGAAGGTAGCCTATGTCACTGTAGAAACGTGGGAACTGAATCTCCACCTTCACAGCACACCTTGCCGTGCCTCTTTTCTCCAAAACAAATGTCCAGTTTTTAACTTCATGCTAATGCAGTGTCCCCTGCTTCAAGCCTCTGCCCCCAAGCCAGCTCGCTGCGTCTTTTATCAAACAAGCTACTGAGTTCAAACCTCTTTCCTGTTCCAGGAAAAAGCGCAGAGCCAAAGTCAGGGTCAAGTCTCATCCTCTTCAAAGAAGTGTAAGTACAATGTTTGAACTTTCTGCTTGAATATATAAACAAACATGCAAAGAGACACACACCTATAAACAAGATGTTACTTTTTCGCTGGGAAATACGATGTTCAAGCTCCTAAAATCCTCTCTGAAATATGTCTGTAGCTGCTCAACAACTACGAACCATCAGGGGTTCCCAAGAAGATGAAGAAACGGACCAAACGTCAAGATCCAATCTACTGCAACATCATGACTCAACCACGCCAGACGAAGAGAAAGACATAGAAGGCAGCGGCCTACATTGCTCCTGAGCCGGAAGGTTCAGTTTCACTGATAATTTATGTTCTTCTCAAGCATGGCCTCAGTATATCATTGGTTGAGTGAAGGTATGATTATTCCTGAATTCAGAAACAGGTTTGTGTGGCGGATGTCATCACAGATACTAATCCCATGTTAGAGTGTAGTTTGAATTCACTTCCAACACAAGTTCTTTGAAATTACTTGAGCACACGGGGAATTAACGAGCATCAAATGTGGAGCAAAAAATTGCTGAGTACGAAATCCTGAGAGTCACGTATTTATAAACTGCTGCCCTGCTCCACTATCATACTCTGATGCAGAGAGCTCACTTTGAAAAGGCCAAGTATAAAACGGCCCAATTGCGTGAGGGTAGAGGCACCGCAGAGCAGGATGGGAATGCGGCTGGCGCTCCCTGCTGGCCACAATGGGCAGATCCTGCAGTAGCATGTTCAATGTACCCATGTATTGCTATTTTTATTCCCTCATTTGACCGTGTTCATGCGGAATACTGGGCTCATTGGAAGTACCCTCTGACCCAGTGACCTTGTTTCATATTAAAATATATTTCATATGTAAAATGTAACTAATAAATGCATTAAAATACCCCCAATAAAAATGACGTATACAGTATGTGGCCTTTGTGAGGTTTTTGCATTAAGGATGAGCCAGGTGTAAATCGTTTGTTTTATTCTTTCCATCCAAAAAAATGACACAGGAGAAATAAAGAGCTGGACTGCCTGATGGTCTACCATGATGGATTTTTTTCAGCAAAACTTACAATACAACAGGGAAGAAAAAAATAACTGCCACAAAACAGATCAGCTGTGAAAAGACAGACACACAATCTTTACCATGATATGATGTGAATATTATGAACACAGATAAATCCCCTGTGTCTCTAAATCCCAATATTATATTCTAATGCATTGATGCATCTCTGTAAATATTAGAGCAACCATACAAAGATGGGACTTCTGGTACATAGTTGCTTAACTGAAAAAATTGAATATTTTGAAAATTAGTATGGTAAATGCAGGTTTCACTTTCAATTTTGCATTTAAATCGCCATTCCTTTGGCTGTTTCTCATCCCTTTGCATACTGAGTATTAAAAACCTTTCTTAGAAGGGCTCGTCCTTTGTTAATCAAACCTATGTCCAGGTTAAATTCACTCACATATAATGTGTTGGAATAAAAAGACAACTAAGAATTACGTACACTGAAAATTTACTTAACGACCGACCGAATAGGGATGACTTTCTCTCTCCCTACAAACTGCATTTCCTAAGACATTTTCTAACATTTAACTGCTAACAGAAAACATTTTGGACAAAAGTACAAAGGCAGTGTCAGAATGGGCTTTCGTGCCGCAATGTCAACACGATTTTTAAATGTTAATAAGTAGGGAACGCCATTGGGCTCAAAACCGTCTGAACCACACGCTCATTTTCGGCGTCTTAAGACGTAGAAATCTGACATGTTTTTAAGATGTTTGGACCATTAAAGCTTCCATACATTGTTTTTTATAGAAAAACATTGGTGACTTTTAAAATACAGTACAGCTGTTTCAAACGCGTCTCAAATTACAGTACTGTACAAATTAAATTACTGAACTGTGTATAAGTAAAATACACTATAATACAGTACATACTGTACATAAAATACAGCTTATTGTAGTTTCGCCGCTGCATCTCGGTGGCTCGTTTTTGGCACTACTTGGACTACTTAAATTGCATGTACAGTTTCCCCTCAGAAACTGATGAAGTGATCGCACCCAAATTTGAACGTCCTAAGATGTCGAAAATGTACGTCTTCAGATGTACAAATGTGACGCGTTGATTCAGAGGCTTTTGGCCCCAATGGCGTTCCATAAATAGGTCTCGTTATTAGGTTACCAAGTGTGAATGAAAAGGCACTTTGTCGTGTCATGCTACATATTTATTAAGAATGACGAATTGTTCTCGTATCAGGAGTGAAATGGGGGGCGGCACGTCCTCTTTTCAAATGCAGCCCGCCGATAGTATTTACTCTCGGTCATTTAAACACTTAGCCGGTCCAAGTCACGGAAAACACAGGGCGGTACACATACCGACACCAGGCGACCGATAAAAGTACATAAACCGCAATAAAAACAATAATGCAAAGCTAATAAAATAAACATCGATCGAGTAACGCTAAATGGCGGTAGGGCCCGCTCACCTCCTGGGTCGTTAATATCCCGTCTCTGGCCGGACGTTTCATGCCACATCCTCCGAAGCCCGATGGACGCAACGTTCCTCATCGCTCGTTTGGACCGGACAACTTCCAGCATTCATCAATTCGGGGGACTGGCATCAAGTAAATGCTCGCAAATTTGTACACGTTTCTTTTCGTGAAATAAATAACCATTATTGAAAATAGAATATTAACTCAGACAAAATTATAAAGAAATCATTTCAACATTGCTTTGCAATTATAATTAAGTTGGTCAAATCATCAACCATGGTTCAGTATATTTTTCATATCTAAGGAAAATACACAAATTTGCAGTTTTCATTATGAATGTCCTTTAATTCCACATGGAAAAAATCCAGGACAAGTTAATTTTGTTAAATACTTATCCAAAAAAGAAATAAAGAAAAAAAAGTTGGCTACAATCTATGAAATTTGTTTTCTGTCCCACAGATCAGAAGCCATCACTTTATTCCGTTATAACAATGTCCAGCGTCATGCCCCATCACTGCACAGGTCCCGGGTTAAAGTTTGATGAATAGCCACTAGAGGGAGACCGTGCTTCTTTATATTCCGTTAGGTCTTGCTGCTCTTCTGTGTTTTCCTCTGACAGGAAACTGGGGTAAGTTTGTGCTCGAGGTATGAACGCCATAGTCAAGTTTGTTCCTGAGGGGGGGGGAAAAAAATCAAATAACAGAGTGAATACACTGCCCGGCCTCCAGTGACTGACCAACTAAGTTGCTAGATGAAACTTGGGGGAAATTATTCATAAAATGAGAAACATCAAAAATTGAAACACTGTAACATGATACTTCTAAGTGATTTTAGTCCATTTTTTACAAAGTTACTCCACTATTCCATTCAGTTACTTTGTTACTTTTAGTTTAATTATGCTGAAAGTTTGCAAAACTATGGCATCATTCTCTAGAAAACAGGAAATAGTGATTTCCAGAATAAATTTTGATTTTAATCCCATGGTAACAAAGAAAGAATCCATACTTAAGAAAAGTGTCATTTCTATGCCTATTATATGACGCTAAAGCAACTGGTACAGAGGAAATATCATAAAATATTTTAAGAAGGATGTGAACATAACAGTACTCCTAAAAGCACAATGCAAAAAATGCAACACATGCAATACCAGTGTTAGCTCAGTCTGATTGATCTCTACATATAAATGGGAAGAAAAGTTTCATGAATCATTTCACTTATCTATTTGCTTTTTATTTATTCACTTATAGCTGATTTATTTAGCTTGATCGCTTTAAATTCTGTGCTTACGATAGAGCTGCAATGTAACATTAAATCCCCACAGTGGAACAGCTATCGATTTCAGTTCCTGCCTGCCTTGGGGGTGTTCTCTCCCTCTGTTAATTCAGACTGATTCCCAGTTTGGTAAGCCTTAATCACACTGATAGATAATACCTCAGAGGAACGGCTATTGGGCTTTACTCATTAGGAGCTGGCAAGCGGCACATTCAGGCCAGGCTACCATGAGGAACTGTCTGACTTGTCTTGCTTGATCTATAAAAACAGAACAGTCCGACCCCCTACTACCACCAATAAGAGCCCAAACCCCATTTTCCGGAGACACATGAACATCATCGTCAGTAAGATGAACATTCCATTTGCACTCTATTAAATCGTCACTCCACCAGCTGGCCAGTATTTGGCCTTGTGCACTAATTACATTTGTGCTTTAAAGATGCATTTTCAGAATCTTCTTGTTCCTCATACACTGTAATCAGGTAGGGGTGCTCAGGATAAAATATGTACCGGTCATCTGGGAAATCACCTGGCAGGGGGTGGGCGGAGCTGCAGAGCAGGCATGGCGGGCATTCCCCTGGGCGATGGGCCCCCACTGCCACTCATCACTGACTCACCACGGTCATTATGACCAGCATCCACACCACAGGCGAAAAATAAATGAAAGCATCAATAAATCATGCCATGGTTATGATGGGACTGAATTTCATTCATTTATGCTGGCTTCTTTCACTATGGGTTGTTGTTGTTTAAAATATACAATCCTTAGGGCATGCTGTGTTCTCAAAGATATCAGTGAGGTCTCTTTGTTTTCTAGGAATCATGTCCAATATATTGACAGAAAATTCCCCAGACTGCGATGCACAATTTGTTAAGTATGCCCTTTAATACTTACTTATGAGAGTTTGGCAGAAATGCAGCTCTTTTAATGGAGAGCTTGTATTTTGCAGATGAATCTGATTATAATTTTAAAGTGCTGCTCGTAGACTGAAGGCAATGGTTGGTTTTGTGAAGGGCAGCAGTCAGTGATTCCATGTCTGGCATCCCGCGCTCATCTTATTGTTTACAGACCAAGTCATAGTTTAAGCAAAACTAGGAGCGGCTCACAGACCCCTGCATAATTTCATTATGCTGCATCTCTAAAAAATAACAACAGATTGAATTCAGCACCGTCACACCATGAAAACAGGAGACAGAGCGATTTTAATTAATGTTTTTCACACTATCTACACAACCTTTCCACTTGAGAGGCATGACTCAGGTTCGGAGTTTAGGTCACATTAGTCCATCTTTTGAGCGCTGAGGTGACTGCGGACGAGGCCCCTGCCCCCACCACTCTGTGTGACTCTCCTCGCTCCTAATGAGTCATCGGTAACACCCACACTTTCCGCAGGTGCCCCCCATCCCCCAGCCATCATTCCCAGCTTCACTGGCTTTCTGTTTCATTAGGATTAGTGCTCATTCCTTTACTCAACATGTTCTACAGACTTGCAGATTTAGGTGATCAGCAATTTGCCTTTCATCAATAAATGAAACAATGAAAAAAATGCTCTCTGCAGAATCACACCATGCTTCCTGCAGAATGACAGATTTAAATAAAGGTCTTTTTTCATGGCTTGAGCAATTGACGCTTCCTGCTTGACATCTCAGGACTGTGCTGCGGCTCATGTAAGCAGCAGGAAGACTTGCCGGAGGTTTCTGTGCCCACGGTGCAGCACTGTCGAAGCCCCAGATCAGGTTAGTGTCATTCACCAGACTAGTCAAAATGCAAGTCCAATTCAGCTTGCAGGCTTTTACCTATCACCGTTCACAGGTTTCTTCCTTTGTAAATATTTTTTCCTTCAAAGAGCGAGTTGTCCTGGGGTCCCAGGCTGCAGGTCTGCAGTCCATCCTGGGCTGTGAGGATGCAGAGGATGAACTCTGCCCTCTTGGGTGTCCTCTGGGGGCTCTGGTGTCCTCTCACATCCCAAGGACATCCTTCCCAGCTTCACTAGGCTACTGCTTTGTGGTTGTATCCCACCCCACAGCCTACGACTCCCACATCCCTCAGAAAATACATGGTAATCAAAAACAGACAAGGGGAACTTTCACAGGAGAATGCGAAGATCCTGTCAGTGGGATGTCTTCTGGAAAAGTCTCTTGACAAATTCAGCTTGCATGGGTCATGCTAAGCTGGTTGTTTCCTAGTAAATAAATCAAGTGTAAATGTCATTCTATTCATGGTGTTTAACCTTCAACTGGCTAAATGCCTTAGCATTGGGTTATGTGTTGCCTTCGCAGGCAAGGCCAAATGAAACGGGTACGTGACCATTATTAATGTTAATTACTGCAGATTAGGGAAACCCTGAATTTCAGCTTTAAGCACAAAGCTAGTACCATCGTGGTACAATGTTGCTTCTTTTCTCACCATAATGGGCTTGTCAAAGTGTTTTTTGGGTTAGATCTACATGGATGCACCCAGTCATCATGTTTACCAGCTCGCTGGGTGAGTGGCGGGTTCTGATGGTACTGCGAGGTCCGCATGTTCCGCCGGTGGCCCTTCCCCTGACGCGGCCCGTCAGTCTGGAAGCCCGCTGGGCTTCGCTGGGCGCGAGTGGGGGTGTGCAGCCTATGACTAATGCAATAATTGAAACTTCAGGAACAACAATACGTGATGTCTCACTGGAGCAGGCTGGCACACTGGAGATTAACTGGATGGAAATTTAAACAAATAACAGCCTGCAAACCACAACGGGAGGAGAAACATTGGTCCTTAATTGCATTTTAGGGCTTGTGGATATTTAGTGCAAAGCAGAAAATGACTCAGCGAAATGAACAAGCCAGATAGGATATTTACCTGTTTTACATTCAAATGCAAGGGGCCGACTTGGCTGCATTAAGGGCCCTACCTACACACCTCCCTGGGCGATTCATTTCTTTCCCTGATTCATTATGTTCAAAGACACGCACTAACCAAATATATCTGTCACCAAATTTCAATAAGATATCGATCGCTAGCAATATTCTAAATGTCAAAACAGCAGCTAAACGCCACTGTTGTTCCATTGACCCGTGTTAGCTGTCACTCTCACTGAACAGCAAGCGCAAAAGGGCAAGGGGTTATTACAACTTTACAGTAGGTCAGAAAATACGTTTGCATTTCATATCAATAAAAATGTAGAGCGACAGAACAAACCGTGAATAGCCAATCAAGCAGGCCATGTCACATGGGTCTACCGTGCTCTCCTGACCTCTGAGAAGGTATTTCTACATTGTGACCTAGACATGAGTATTTTTTCACATTTAACCTAAATGTCCAGTTGTAGTAAATTCTTGTTTGCCCTATTTTTAAATATTATTTACACCAAGTATGTCTCCTTTCGAAATCTTAAATACATTTAAATCAAAGAATAGTGCCAAATTAAAACAAGCAAGTTATTTCTAAAAGTGTTGTTTTAAAAAAAAAAAACTCCTTCATATCTGCCATACTCATCCAAACACCACATCTGTGCGGCACCATCCTCAGGGCTGATAGTTAAAAAGGAAAGAAACACCTTTAAGGTCCCTAAAGGAAGCGGCCTGCCTCGCCAGCGACCCCATCACACATAAAGTGAGCAGTGCCCTTGAACACTCTGCTTTCGCAGTACAGTGACGGGACCGAGCCCAAAGAGCATTAGCTCTCCTTGCATTTTCTGACAGTTTCCCGTAAAAAAGCCTCTTGCAGGTCCCACGCACTCCTATATCTATCAGATTTGAGCTGCCCGTGCTGTAACGCCACCATGCATCTGCATTTGTGTGAGAGCACGTTGATTAGATGGATGAATGGTTTCTACATTATATCTTTACTCAACTCAGAAGCTAACAGTGGAGATGCCAAAATGATGAATGTGCCCCCCCCAACCCCCCACAGACACACACACACATACACACACACACATTCCTCCCACCGACCACGTCAGCAAGCAAATGTCCTGAGGAATTTCACAGAAATGAGCATGACCTGGTGAACATACAGGCCTTTATTCACGGGACGCAGGAACAGACTCTGTAAAAGTGTGCGTGCGTGAGGGAATAATACAACTGAGTGTTTCATAAAAAAATCACCAGAATCCCACGTTAAGGCCTATTACATCTCCCTAAAAAACTAAAGCTCATACTAACATTACAATGTAAGCCCATAATTGGTTGAGATGAAAGTGTCTGAGGGCGGAATCCACGATGAGGCTGGTGAGCCCCCCCCCCCCACGAGCGCTCGTCCTTTGTCGAAGGTGGTGAGTCAGTGCACACTTTCCCATACGCCTCGCGCTGATCTCTCGCTCTGTCATTCTCATTTATACTCTCAGGGTAGCAGAGCAGAAATAAAGTCATTGCGGGTAGGAAAGCGCACACCTACACAGTGGTACGTTCCTCACCCCCACGGTGGAGTGTCCTTGGTACTGCCCTGGGGAATTAAAGCACTGTGAAGAAGGTCATGATGCGGGTGAATCCTTGAGGCGGGGGACGGGTCTGAGTCACCAAGACTCTCCACATAGTGACCATGTGCTTAGTCGTGCAGGGTCACGGGCACTCCCAGAGAGGTGGCTAACATCATACCAGGTCATGAGAGACGGCCAATCCAATATGCAATGAAACGAAGAAATCTGAATTGCGAGTGTAGTACATTGGTTTTTAAAAATGTATATTTTATGCACACACATAATGATCAGGAGTAACGGCTTCACGCCAAGAAGCTCGCTGTAAATGAAGCTTTGCTTGGAGATCTGCTCCACGCCTTACCTTGGAAATGGTAAATGTCCCCGACGCTGCTTTGCCGGGTGATGTGGTGCCAGTATGCACTCCGCGGCAGAGATATCGACTTCGATAAAGTCGCCTCGTTCGAGTACGCCTGTAACACAGGAAGGAGGGGCAAGTCCTATTTAACTTTAACTCGCATCCTGCAGCCCCAACCCCCACACTGACATCAGTCTCAAGACCCAACACCTGTCATCTCTGTGTTTGTTCCTGTTTGACCCTCGAGCGTCAATCATGTACATTTCTACTCTTGTCAGCCCCACTCTTGGATTCTGCTTCTGTGCTGGCCTGTATGCACCCAATGCACTCCTCCAAATGAATCTTCTGGAAAAGCCCACACAATTCACGAGCGAGCAGATACTAATGCCTATGTGGGAGGCCACCCACCTGTGAGCTCTTCTCCATGTCCATCATCATCCTCTCATGCTGTTCGGCGATGGACAGCGTGGCAGAATGGACCCTCTGATAGATCATCTCCCCCTCTCTGGTCTGAAATGTGAAGAGGCCTTCTCCGGTGTCACACATCCTGCAATGAGATTCCGCCTGCTGATTGCACACTATGCGTGCTCCCACGGAAACCTTTCCAACCGCCGATGAATGCACAGGCCAACTCATTTAATTCAGACACGTTTTATCTAATGAAAAATGTATGCCTTCTTTGCTTAACTGGAGAGGAATGCGTGTTTGACCAGGAGGAAATGTCAGGCAAATTTTACTTCTGCAATAACATTGAAAGGTACATAAGGAGATAGTTAGGACCCTTGATATTTCAGATGTAGGAAAAAAAATGTTCTATCCAGAAAATCAGCTCCATTACTATAGCAGACTAGAATGCAATCATGAGGAATCTGACAGATTTATTTAAAAATGTGTATAAATGTGTCTTGGAGGTAATTTAGGATTCATTCAACATGAAAGCACAGGAATCTCACAGACGATTCAAGAATAAATTTTTATGGCAGCTTTTATTACAGTGTAAACATAAATGAAGCTCTCACAGAAAAGATAATTTACTGAAAAGAAGAATCAAGTAAAAGATTTAAAATGTGTTATAAATGGTTAGAATAAATAAAAATGGAATAAATGAAACGTGTCAGGCTGCTAACTGCAAAATCTACAGCTAGGCCTTGTGAAGGTGCGTATGTCTAATACTTCCTGACAATGCTAAACTCCCTGAAAGGTACCCCCATCACGGCATGTGGCCCATACCTCCCAGACTCAAACGTGAACCAGGTGGAGTCCCGTCCGTATCTTCGCAGGGAGTTCAGTGGCCACACGACCAGCTTGAGCCGGGCGTTGTGAATATCCCAGAGGTAGATGTTCTCATGTGTGATCTGCATAGTGCATTCCCCGTAGATGTCAAGGTTCGGGGTTGGCATCAGGTACACGTTGAACCTCTCTGAAATCACAGGTGTAACGGCGGTGATGCAATCATTCACGCCCTGAGTGTGTCCATGGGGAAACAAAGCCAAGCCACTGTGTCCAGTGAAACACTGTCATCATGTCACTCTTGTGTACTATACAATGCTTCTTTATCAGTCATAAATGGATTCAATCTAAATCTTGGCAATTAAGCAAATAGGATCCTTTGTATTTACTTAAGAACATGCCTACTTGCTTTGTGAGAGACTCAAATAAGATCCTTCAATGGGGTGATAATAAGGCTTCTCTTGAATTCAAATCTGGCACGCACACAAAGGGTGAATACAGTGCTAGAATAATTCTTTGTCAAGGAACAACGAGTTAACTGACTGATAAAGACGGTCGTTCTTAGAAACTGATGAATTTACTAGGAGTTCCGATTCCTTGTTCCAGTAAACCGTTAATCAGAAGTTAAAGAGAGGACACACGTGTTAATGGCCGGTTGCCATGGATCCCTGTGGAAATCAGGCGATCATTATATTCCCCCAATGTGGGTTCACTGGGTTCTGCTCCAAGTGAACCACCAATTTTGGGTTTGGATCTATGCGTGATGTCCTTATGTGCATATAGCTGCTTCCCAGAAATGTGGTTACCTACCTAATGTGAGTTAGAGAGGGTGTGTGCATGTGTGTGTGTGTGTGTTTGGTTGGGGGGGAGGGGTCACGTATAAACTACATTGTGGGGACCAAATATCCCCAAATTATGATAAAAACCTGTTATTCCGACATTGTGTGGACCATTTTATAGGGTCCCCACAAACATCTGCATATGCAATCTAAAAACTAAAATGCCAATAATCTCATATTTTGTTTGGTTACTTATGGTTAAGGTTTGGGCTGGGTAGGGGTTAAGGTAATTATGTTGGGAGTAGTGTTTTCCCCATAGAAATGAATGGAGAGTACCCACAAAGATATAATTACAAACCTCTGTGTGTGTGTGGGGGGGGGGGGGGGGGGGGGGAACTCAGTGAAAGCTGCTGCTCTACCTGTCACCAAAACTCATGGAAAAGAGGAATGCTGGAAACAGGACAGATTGGCTAATTGTGTCTAATTTTTCAGAAAGCCATGAACTGGCGAGAGGAAGTGACTCTATTGCGCTATTTTGGGAAAATTAAAAAGATGTCATTTAATCATAAGAGCCAAGCTGTGAGTGGCCTGTGTAGGAAGGCAGATCTGACACGACTCCAACTCCCAGACATGAACCCCGTGCTGTTGTTACGAAAGCAAGCAATTTCCTCCTTATAAGTAACTCCAGAGTTTTACTGCATGTTCTCACTGGCCATGTAGGAGCAAACGTGAGCTTCATTTTGTCAAACAAACAAAGAACATTACCCGTGTTATGAGAATGGGAAAGCAAAATAAGTTAAAAGTACAACGGGTAGAATTTATGCAGGAATCAAGTACAGCAAGCAGAGTTTATATAGGAATAAAAAAAGTAAAAAGTATGGAAGGCAGAGTTCCATATCACATGGGCATTTAAACAGATGATCAAAAATCAAAATGAGATCTTTCTTCAGGCTGTCATGAAAATATTTTTCTCCTTCTGATTCTGTAAATTAGTTTAAAATGTTCTTACTATGAAATATTATAAGACCATATATCTTCTAAGTGATTATCCTGGTCAGGGTGACAGGGGCCTGGAGCCTATGCCAGGCAGCAGAAGGCTTGGAAAACCTTGGATGGGATGCCAGTCCATCATAGGGATCATAGACACATACTCATAATCATACTCTATGGGAAATTTAAAGGTCCACAACAGAGGAAGAACATGCAAACTCTACACACAGAGTAGAGGCAACATTAGAAGAGTTTGGTTCCAAAATGTGCCATTTAAAACAAAAAAAATCCTGCCAAAAGAAGTTTGGCATTCATATTCAAAGTTCCATATTCAGATTAATGCAAAATGTTATATCTGCCATGTTTCTCTACCTTGAATATTCCCTTTATCCCCCCAAACGGTGATAAACACCACTCCTGATTTTCAGCACAGCCTTATATCTCCAGGTAACCAATCACAGCACACAATTCCATGCCAGCACCCAGTGACTATCAACATCACGGAGAAACCCCATACTTTTAAAGATTTTGAACAAAATAAATGAATAGCTTTGATGGAATTCAGGAGCCAGTGCTTGTTTCTTCTGTGGGAAGAAACATAAGCGGAAGGAAGTAAAGAAAATGCAACATTCAGGCGGAGTAAAAAATACTTGCGGTTGCCAGCTCACATACCAAAGAGACTTCAGACTTTTGCCTTCAACTGCTGGTGATCTTGCTAAAAACTCTTTCTATTCTCATAGGATTAAAGCTGAGCAGGATCAAGCCATTTTGCATCTCATAACAGTTAAAAAGGTCCAGTGATGAAGTCCTAAAGCGGAAAACGAAGATGCCCAGAAGGATAGGGAGCTCACTAGTGACTGAGGATCATTCAACTAAGATTCCTGTCTGCAAGGCTACCTTCTGCACAGTATTAGGTGAGTTTAATTTCATTTTAATGAATAATATTTACTACTATTTATCAAGGACTGTCTACTCTTAGGCAATGTCCATCAATGAAGTTTGTGTGATTTTACTTTTAGCCTATCCTGTTTCATTTCAATGACAGTATAAAAGTTCAAGTTATAGGCTATAACTTCACATATGATCATACACAGGCCATTCAGTATCCTATAAACTTTAAGCTTACAGACTGAATCCAACCAGGAGCCAGTTAATACCTAAGAATTGGAGTAATAATGCTGTGTGCGAGCGTGCATGCGTGTGTGGTTTAGGTATACCTTACCTTGTGGGGACCATATAGGAAAACTATTTTATAAAAATCTGTGACTGCAAAGAAAAACTAAAAATGCAAAAATTCTGTTTGGTTACTTTGGTTATGATTAGGGCTGGGTAGGGGTTAAGATAGTTAGTGTTAGCATTTTTCCCATAGAAATGAATGAGCGGTCCACATAAAGATATGTGTACCCAACATGTGTGTGTGTGTGTGTGTGGAGGGGGACTCCTATCTTACTGCTTTATATTATTATTATTCCAGTGGAAAAAGTGGTCCAAAATTAATTTTCCCACTTTAGCAACACCTCCTGTGATCTAGATATGGCACTTTAGCTATGCTTGCCGTACAATGAGGCCAAACTTCTAAATTTACTGTCCAGAATAAAAGGTTAATCCTTTCTTTTTAAAGTTTAAGAAGTATAAGATACTAAGTTCAGAGGCTGTCATGTAAGTAGATCAGTTTTGCTTCTTATTTATGATTATATCATGTACAATTTCACAAAAAAAAAATACATTTTTATTGATGTAATGGATTCATAGCATTTTGGACAAAAATGTGTCATGGATACATTGCATTTTAGAAAAAAATAATTCATTTGTGTAATAAGAATTTAAAAATTAAAATCTGATTTGAATATTTAATGTGATTACAACCTCATAGTGCTATTTTAAAGTGTGAAACAGAAAATAGTGGTTTTCATGCAAGCCCTGTTTGACAAAGAAAATACATTTTAATTACAATGGATTTATAGTGTTTAGTAACCAAACTCTTCGTTTGAACCCCCAATCCTGGAGATGCACAGCAACAGCGTTACTCACGGAGTAACCATGCTGTCCCACCCATCCACCCATCCATCCAGAGTACAGGGCCATGAGGAGCTTGGACACTCAGGGAAGGAAGCACAAACCACAAAGCACCCTGAATGGGTTCTATTTAAAAGCCCTAATTTTAATTAGTAATCTAGCTGCTGTAATTTTGCTACATTTCTGTGGCTGTACATGGTATTTCAGGTCAGCAACAGAAGCCACAAATGTGGCTGTTAATGGAGTCCAAAATAAAATAGCAAAATGTATAAAAATAAAAAGTATGAGCAGTGAGGACGCCCACAAAGCGCCTCACGCATCCTCCAGAGAGTGACCTTGGAGCTGGCACCAGTGGAGCTGCTATTGATTTTCATTTCTTAAGCCATTTCCTCCCCAAACTGCAATATTAATGTTCTGAGCAAAGGCGCGGCTGCAGATTTCTGCCTCAGTGTGACGCAGCTCTGCTTGTTTCAGCCCCTTTAAACGCTGCGGTCGCGTCCGTCTCCCTGACAAGCTTCATTACATGAAAATGTGGAGAAGCTCTGTGCCACTCATCGGAAACTCTGACGCACCTTTGGCACATGATCTATAATGCGTGAGCGGCTGTATCCTGACAGCACATTTTATAGGCTGTTCATCATCACATGACCAGGGGCTGGTCACATGACCGAACACTAACCGCTCTGCTCCCTCTGCACGCCGGCTGCCAGCAGGTCCGGCTCGCCCAGGCTGATGTCATTGAGCCGGGAGCTCAGGCACTCGACGCAGAGAAGTTTCAACCACTCCTCAGCCTCCAGCTCTAAAAACACAGAGAAGGAAACAGAGAGGAGGGTCAGGGTTCCCGACAACGGACATCAGATCGCACAGACATGGAGAAAGGGAGGGTCAGGGATCCCGACCCAGAGAGCACACCACACAGAGACAGAGAGCGGGCGGGTCAGGGATCCTGACCCAGAGAGCATACCACACAGAGACAGAGAGCGGGCGGGTCTGGGATCCTGATCCAGAGAGCATACCAAACAGAGACAGAGAGCGGGCGGGTCAGGGATACTGACCCAGAGAGCATACCACACAGAGACAGAGAGCGGGCGGGTCTGGGATCCCGACCCAGAGAGCATACCACACAGAGACAGAGAGCGGGCGGTTCAGGGATCCCGACCCAGAGAGCACACCACACAGAGACAGAGAGCGGGCGGGTCTGGGATCCTGACCCAGAGAGCATACCACACAGAGACAGAGAGCAGGTGGGTCAGGGATCCTGAGCTAAAGAGCACACCACACCACGGTCAGGGATCCCGACCCAGAGAGCACATAGAAACACAGCCCACTGAGCATTGAGCACAAGGAGCACAATGACCTCTGACCCCTTGACGTGTGAGTGGAAAAAGATGACTAAGTTCATACAGAGGTGACTAGTGCACCATTATGTGCTGTGCTCATAGATGTCAGGGACATATCACAAACAGTTAGTGTTTCCCCAGCAAAGTCACTGAGGGACAGTTAATATAATAACTGGAGTGACAGGCAATTAAAACACAATTAGAAGAAATGTGAATGATTTGCTGTCACTCAATATAAAATAAAAAAATATATTACATGGTTTATTTAAAAAAAAATAATGAATGGCAAGTAGGAATTCATAATGGCTGTTATCATAAAACCCAAAATATAATAGAATTCGAAACTCAACATTACATTCTGTTATCATATATGCCTTGGGTCATTGTTCTATTAATTCCATCGAGGTTTAAGTTTTTAGCCATACAGCATTTTTTTTTAAAAAGAAGAATGAAACTCTTTCTATAATTCCTTTGTGTTACCATTTAAAAACAGTGGAACAATTTCCTCTTTTTATTCCACCGGAAAGATTACACTGAACCTGATGGCTAAAGAAAAATGTCAAATAAAATTACCATAGAATAATGGGCAGTACAGATTCAACTTATGGAAATAATCAGCACTTGTTCTCAACCCAGTCTTGGGGTCCCTGCAGATCATGTGTATCACACAGTACCTAAGAGTTAAAGGTGAGAGGTCAATCATACTGCTAATGCAAGGAGCTCCTGTGCGTCATAAAAAGTCATGGAGGAATTTCAGCCAATGGCAAAGCTTTGAACACACAGGGGCAGTGATATTACGATACTATGAGAAATTCAGAAACAGTGTGCTATAAAAGATATCCGTCAGCTGGTTCGGGCTCTACACGTCAAACGGAGCCCCTCATACAAGGCCTCCTCATGTGGCCTCCATGCCATCTCTATGCCCTGAAGGTGTTTCCCATGAGAATGTACAATAAAATGCTTATGGAAATCTGTAGGAAAACATCTGTTTGTCCCACTAAGGAGGAGAGGTAGCTATGTGGAACCTTTTGCATTTGCATACTTTGCCTGATAGTTTTTACTTCATAAAATACTTCCTTTGGATGAGCTCTGCAGACCTCTTGAAGCTGGATGTTATTTCTCAAAGGAACACGGCCTCGTTTCAGCCTGACACAGTGGCACTGGCGTCCATTATGCACATCCTCGTAGCCTTGGAACAAGCACAGCAAGGCGTCTGCGAAGATTCATTTGGCCGGGTGCAGTGGGAGCACACGCTCCTGCAGGGGTCTTCCTGTATCTCTGTGGGTCCTTTCACTTACACACACCTCTCCAAGGCCCAGCCAAGGCCAGGACTCTGCTTTTTAATTATGAATAATAATTAGTATGATTAGGGACAGGCCACGCGCTTATTATTCACCTGTTATCTGAATTTCAAAAGTTTGCAGCTCATGCTCAAATAACCCGTAACTATGACGATGAGCACAGCGATCGTGAAGGAAAGGCGGTGGTGTGCTCAGATTTATGCGTCTCTGGAAAATCCAGCTCTCGCTATCAGTAGGAAAGACAGAAGAGGAAACAAATGGAAAGGCATCCTCATCCATACGGAACACAGAGCAGGGAAGCTGTCTTCAGGTTTTCATCAATCAGCTTAAGGAGACTGAGAAATTAACATGCGTGGTTTCACTGCACAGACTGCCGGCTTTTCCCAAGGCGGCCTGCATCACAGCCACCCTAAGGACAGCACCACCCTAACGGCATATGCCTCCAGCCCCGCTAATGACAGCCAGAGGATGCAATCCCACCTACTGCTGCTCCCTTGGGACGCCCCTTCGATTAAGGGCCTAATTTAGGTATAATGAACGCAGATCGAACCATCAGCATCTAATCAGAGCTACAGTTTAGCTGGAGCCGCTAGTTAATAGAATAATCCAGAGGCGTTTGGAATATATATACGAGGTGAAGCTGTCTGTTTGTGCCGCAGAGCATGGGGGGAATCACAGGCCACGGTGACAACCAGCACAGCTTCCTTTCTGATCCTCCTGGAAAGCTGTATGCAGGACCCCAGGACCCACAGAGGCAAAGGAGGGAGAAGCCTGGGACTCACTGCAGACGACGCCGTGAGGCAATGAGCCAGTCCCCGCTTTTAGGGCCTTTTGCTCACACATCCCATCCCGTATCACGCCATACACGTGTCCAGCGAGCGGGACGCAGGACTCAGCACTGCTGCAGACCTCCATCTCTGCAGGATTCTGGAGCTGCCGTGTGGTGGAGGTGTGGCTAAACTCCAGCTCATCCCATCCCTGCCTTGTTCTTCACTTCCTGGCCATCACCCACACGTTATCCCCTCGGCTCGGTAGGGGCTTGCATTTGTTTACTCCATCGGCATGGAGACTGTATCCCACCCTCCCCATTCTCAAATATCACCCACCGGCTGTCCTGTGCCTGATAAGCTTCCTGTCACTGTGTCAAGCCCCAGGTAGTCTTGGCTGTACTTTTCCCAGATAAACCTCTTCATTACCTCCCAGTTACCAGCTCACAGTCGACTCTTCTTAGGAATCTCAGCATTCAGCCGTGAAGATGGTCAGGCTGCCACTTCCTCCCCGGTACTGCATGCATCTGACCTCTCCATGCCACAGTTGGCCCCCGCCGGTGGGGAGGGTCGCACCCTACACTCTGCTGCCTCACCCTGTCCTTCTCCCCCTCCCATTCACTCATCTCTCTTTCATCAGTCTAAAAAAGCTCATTCTCTCTTAGTCCAGCCTTGACCTTTTATCTTTTCTCCACACTTGTCTATCGATCTTTCACTAACCTTCCATTAACCCCATTATCCAGCCCACTAGCTCTGTGTTCCTCTGACGAAGCCACCATGACCTGCTTTTGGTCACTGCTTCGTGTGGAGAGATCCCATGGCCTAAAGGTTGCCTTCTCATCGCCTACAGGCACACCTGATTTTTCATAAAACCCCCAGCTGAGCCCAGAGTTATGTCCATTCATATGCCCGTGCCTCCCCTCCCTTTTCTCTGTATACAGGTTATGAAATGTAGAAAATAAACCAAGAAATGGCCACCCTATGTCTAAAAGGCACTCTGCTATGCTAGACAGAATTAACTCCCTTTTCCCTATTCACTTTTCCTAGAACAATAATTACACTCCAGCAAACAGATCCTCCCAATGACACTAGCAAAGTTAGGAATGCAAGACGCTGCAGGATTGTAAGATATTTTGACTCCTGTAGGGAGGAATTTTTGGGTGCTCCTCTGTCCTCACAGCACATCGCACATTGTGGCCATGTCTCCATTTACCACATCTCCCACAACCTCAGCAGCGATGCCCAAGCACACAAATTTGTATCAATTTGTATAAATTTCATATCAGCCGATTTCATATCAAACACAAATTTAAAGGTCTGTATTTTGTTTGATTGGCCTAGTATATAAGTGTGATGAATGTTATAGAGTTTTAGGAGAGCTCTGTAGGGTGTAATGATGCATGCAGTTGCTTGGTTTGACAGCCTCGTCAGTGTTTTACTTCTACACACCAAGACACTTTGGATTAAAGCATCTGTCACAGAAGAGTTTTTTAAAAAATGTCAGAATTAAAGGTGCAACGACATGGAAAGTTAACTGATATTCCTCAGCCTTACTTAAGGAATGAACGGTTTCATTTTGACATGTACAGTGTAAGCAATATTGATGCTGGCACTTAGAAGCGGAAGCTAATTGTTCCCCTGATTGATTTATTTGTCTTTATTTTAATCGACCTGACTCCTAAAAGCCTCCCTCAGAGCCATGACGTTAATGCTGTACAAACCTGCTAACACCTTCTGTCCCCTACGCACTCAGCTGTAAGAGATGTTGCAGTATTGTGCCTTTTAAGAATACTCATCCCCAGTGCTTCTGCTCCGTGTGTGTCGGCTGTTCCCTGTAAACAGTGGCGTTTGGCACCTGCTGCCGAGGCAGAAGCCACAAAATGTAGCAGCGGAAAATATGACCTTTGTGTCATTCTGACCTCTCACTCTCACCGACCAACTGAGTGGAAAATTGGATAAACAATCACTTTAGCAACATGGCAGGGTGGCCCGAGGACACAGGGCTCTGCCGGACGGGGATATTGTAAACACTTCCCGTCCAGGTGAAGATGGGAACGATACAGGCTATGCCAAGCTGGATGCAAAAGGAGCCACTATCACAGCCAGACTGATCCCACTGAGTAGGGTGGAACATCGTACACACACACTCTTTAGGGTAGAACATCTCACACACACACACTCGGTCGGGTGGAACATCTTATACACACACATACTCAGTAATATGGAATATCTTACACACATTCTAAGGAAGGTGGAACATCATACGCACTCAGTATGGTGTAACATCTCACACACATGCAGTTTGATGGAACATCCATCTCTCTCTCTCTCTCACACACACACACACACACACACACACAGAAATGTGGAATATCGCACTCACACAGATATTCAGTCACAGTTCAGCAGTGTACACTCCCAGAGTGCACTGGCACATAGTGAGCTCGACACGGCTTCCCTCTGGAGGGGAGCTCCATGCCAAAGGTCCGGCCGGCGCGTGTGGGGGACATCCGAGCGAAGGGAGCTCCATATGTCTGCAGATCCGGATGGCTGCAGGTCTGCAACGATGCCAGCAGCGGGGGCCAGACAAGCAGGGGGGCACTTGCCATGCAGGAGAAGCAACTTTCCCCATCTTCTGAAATTTACCACAAGGCTTAAGCAGGGAACTCCATCGTCAAACGCATGGTTAGGTCAATGTTTCCACACCTCCATATCACCTGGTCCTAGACGTACGCAGCACCCACACAACAGGCCCTCAGCTCGCATGCACATCAGTACTGGCACCTACTGAACTGGTACATATTACACCCCCTCGCTGTGTTTGCAATATCGCCTATGTATATGCTTCTACTCTGTAATAACAGAGAAGAGTATAAGTTTAACAAGTGAAAACACAAGAGAATGAGGTTTTTATTACCAAAGACTCATATTCAAATCATCAGAACAGCCCTGAGGTGTCCAATGCCAAGTTGAACATCGAGTAACTTTGGAGAAATATTCGCTTTTTAAGGCTGAGAACCCTGACCTTGGCTGTGTCTGACAGTCAGCTCATGAAACTGGACTAACACTACAGGTAGGAGGTAGGAGGTCAGGATATAAGCACACAGGGACCAAGTTCTGGAAGCACTGGGCGTGAGGCTTCACAGCAAGTGAACGGGTTTATAGTGACGAATAATAAGAAAAACACTCAGTCAAGGTGTCATAAATCACTGTGCTGTGTATGGCGGCTTTTCCCGGACCCTGTATCAAATACTCTATATTGTGTCAACCTGAGACAACTCTTTCATATCATGCACCAATATCCGAGTCCAAGTGAAAATTAAATAAAAATATAACATTATTGCACTGCAACTGCAGGCCCAGAAATGTAACAATGGAATTAAGGATTAAGCAGAATTATGACAGAGGCTAAATCTTGACACTAAAATACATGCTTGGCTCAATGTCTCACTGTGTAAATGCATCTATAGATAGTCACTGGCGAAAGCCATAAGACGTCACCCTCCACATCGTACCGAAGAGGAGACATTGCAGAGGCTATTTTAAGATGCACCGTAATAAACGCGTTTTCAGACACACCTGTCTTCATCCAGGCACGATCAACATTACAAACACTGATTGTACGTTATTTCTGCAGCCTACTTTCACTTTTCCAAACAAGCATGCACCTCTTTTTGTAGTAATATTACAGGAGACAGAATTTTCTGTAATATTCTACCCCGCCCCCCATACATTATTCATTCCCATGCCATGAACCTCTGGACACATCTTATTTAAAAATTAGACAAATGCCTAAGGCTGTCACCCATTTGGTGTCCCAGGGCATATTGGCTTTAGCCTAAAACATATCTAGGTGGTGATTCCTGGAGAGCAACACCTAAAACCATACACCCTCATTCAGATCCAGAAACAGACACCCGGTGCCTCTCTGTCTCTGCCGTCTGATACAGCTGTTGTGTCCCATGCCTTTGGCAGTATTCAGGGCTCACCTCCATCACATCACACAGGAGTCATTTTTGGACAGGTGCCTGGAATTCACAAGCAAGTTCGCCGGATGAAGGAGCGACCAGACCGGGCCACGCTGTGACCCAGTGCCTTGGCGTTCAGCATGACGGATGGACGGCCGTATGAAGACAAGCACAGCCTGACCCTCCGATACCCCATAACCCTCGTCCTCCATCTGTTTTCCTTGGAGACACACCTCCCTCAGCAGAGGCTGCTTACCGGACTCACAGGCGAACGTCTTGACCGTGCCGTCATTGAAGATGATCGCCACTGCATGTTTCTTTGTCTCCCGGGGCAGTCGGATGATGTTCTTGATGCTGTGCAGCTCCGTTATCTGTAAAATGAGGGTGAAGACACTGTTACGGCTGAGCTGATGTATCACAGAGATGGCAACATGTATCAAATACAGTCCTGGCCTATTCACTCCTCTGATACTGGTCAATGCGAAGAGGGCATGAAAGCGACTGAGAATCCACATTTTACAACAAGGCCTTATTTCCCCCCAGTTCGTCAAATAAAATCTATCCCTATGTGCATGAGTGTGAGTGCAGTCTGTGCTGGCAGAAGCCATTAGCATGCAGTGCTGCCATTGAGAGCCAGTGCAGAGTAAATACATCCTTCCTCTGCAGTGAGGCTCCCACCACAACCCTAATTAATTAAAGATTTATTTACATAAAGGAGCAAAGGCAATCAATCCTCTGCTCAGTAAATAAGTGAATAATGAGCAGCACAGCTTTGATACTTGCACCATGTCTTTCAAGTTTACCAGGGTGGAGACTCTATACACATAGCATGATGTGTCTGAAAGATAATAATACCTTTCTCTACAGTGCTTCGAACACAGTCCAGTTTAATATGAATAAGTATTAATATGGTTACATTCCTCTTCTGTAAGAAGTGTATATCCCAAAACCAAAACAAGCTCAACATTCTGATAAACCACTGTTATGTTAAATTGTATTTGCATATGGTAGTATATGGTTAGAGTTGACTAGAGCTTGGCGTTATGGCAAAAAAAATTATCACAATATTTTTTCCGTATTGACCGATATCGATAATTATCAATATTATAGTTTCACAATGCTGTTCCATGTAATAATGTAATAATCAAAATAATAATAAAAATAACCCTATTCTGAAAAATAGAATGAATACATTGAAATAAACAATATTAGCAAACAAATATTTATTTTCCAACAAATTTTACTGTTTACATACAAAATTCCCTTAAAATTATAAAAGGTTATTGATTTTCAAGTATTCAAAGAAACAAATGAACAAAACCATATAATAATGTAACAAAGTGCAAGTGTATAATATTGCAAATATGTTAAAGGACGAACATAAAATAAAGCAGAACAGAATTGACTGCAACAAGTATCTGCCTCTATTCTTGGTCTCTTAAAAACTTTTTTAAATTCTGAGGTAGAAACAGGTACAAACAGATCAAGCAGCACCTCTCAGCTGCACAAACTGGAACCGCCTCCGTGACGACACAACTTTGTCCTTATTGGCTGAAGAGTTTAGATACACGCATGACGTTGGAAGTTCCGATGCGTTATCTGCTATTTCTCCCGAAAAGCACGTAAAGCAGTGAGAACTGGTTTTCAGTTCATTTACCTGGTAAAATAAAGTTTAAATAAATTACATAAATGCTCTAACAGTAACGTAAGTTAGTGGTTTATTTATTGTTAGCTACTGTAATGTTGCGCTGATTTATTTGTTTAATCGTCCAATTTGTGAAGAAGGCATTCAAGTAAGAATTGCATTGTACTCTGTACATGACAATAAAAACTTTGAATCCTTGAAATACATGCATTTGATCTTTTTCCTGGCAACTATCTTTTTACACAGAGCCACTATACACAATAGTTTATTTTTTTCACTGCTAACAGTTTGGATCAGGAGTTTGTTATTGTATAAGACGTAATGTGCATGCAGGTGATATTTGTATAGATTTATCTACACCCTTCTGGCAGTGCTGCCATTGCAGTCAGGTCTCGCACACTGTGAGGCGTAGAAGTTGTCCGACTTGGCTGCAGTCAGTTCATACTCCACCACTGCAGCAGCCGGCAGATCTCGCTCCACGTCACGTCAGCTGCAGACAGACCTAAGCCCAAGTCGAACGCACCCATTGCTTCTTTAAGGGAGGATGGGCAAAATTACAACGTCGTCGGTGATTGGCTGTTGTGCTGGCGTTCAGTAAACCTAAGATCGATATGCCATGGAGTTGTCTATCTCAGCGCATTCTCTAAAATGGAGCAAACTTGGTTGATCGAGTTTTATAGCCTGTGTATATCATCAAGATTGTCCTCATTTTTTATCGTTAAAAAACTGAGATCGTTTTATCGCCCGGTACTAGAGTTGACTATTTATATGTTCTTGTAATAAAACCTGAAAGTGAAGTAAAGCATCACAGAGGATCTGAAAACTGCACCTGTAGCTATAAGCCCAGGAGCTGGTGCTTCAAACAGCTTTACACATCATCTGTCTGCTCAGACACAGACAGCTCAGGTGTTTACTGGAGCTACATCAGTCTGGTGACATAAAAAACACTGCGCCAAAGGAATAGCCAGCAGTGCAGACATAACAAACACCTACACAATAGCCAATAGCTCAGGTCCCGCTAGGAGCTGTAGTTACTTTCTCACAATGCCCTCATGGACTGCAGTTATTTCAGGTACCTGCTCACAATGCCCTCATGGGCTGTAGTCATTTCAGGTACCTGCTCACAATGCCCTTATAGGTTGCAATCATTTCAGGTACCTGCTCATAAAGCCCCCATAGGCTGCACTCATTTCAGGTACCTTCCCAGACAGTACTACAGCACTCAGTAACCCATTGCAATTTATTTAAAAATGCACATGTATGGTTAGTGGGTCACAGTGCTGCTTTACACCACCAGGTTTGGGTTTAAATCCTGCCTCTACTCTGTATGCATGCAGTTTGCATCTCCACACAGTCTGCCTCCTGCAATCTGCAGATAGGCTAATCAGTGCCTGTTATATGTGTGTGTGTGTCCTGCAGTACTGTGACTGGCATCGCTTCCAAGGTGTGCCCAGTGCTGCTTGGGATGGGATCCAAACCCCCTCACAGCCTAGGAGAGCACAGAAAGCCACCAGCACACAAAGCTATCTGCAAACCCAGCTTCAGCTTTGTGTCATATTGCTGTAAAACACATGCTTTTGTTGTAATTAAGGTTGTTGCAATTAATTTATGCTAAAATTGTAGTGTGGTTTCTGGAAATGTTCCAAGCAGGCCCCTTTGCTGTCAATCCTTACTGGCTGTTGTAAGTAACAGTCTGGGGGGAGCACTTTGTCATGCCCTGCACAGCCTGGATCCCCACGACTGAATACGATCCACCGGTCTTAGGTACAGCATTAATTTTGCAAATGCTATCAAAACACACCTGAGCTAAGAACACTAGGCTAAAAAGCCCAAAGGGCAGGCTTCACTTTGCCAGTGAACATTATGTGTTAAGGCTGAACACTTCTTATTGTTCTGAAAACACTTAATTCTTAAAACAGTCACAGATAAACTGGGTTTAGAGACAATGCACCACTGCAACGTGCATGTAAATGTAACAGCTGGCTTAAACCCTATCTATCTGCAGGATTATTTAAATATTTTTAAAAATGCATAATTTAGTAAATTAAGAGAATGTGAAGATAAAGAACATGCCATTTTTGCATATTGGAAGTAAATCCAACCCTGCAGAGATGATCAAATAGCAGAATGACTGTCCCCCGTGCCAAACTCCGCGGTGGGGATGCAATATCACACCGTCAGCAGGAACCTGATGCGGTGACGGCCTCGATCCCGTCTCTCGGATTTCGCCTAATGATTATGTCAATGGCGGCCTTTTGTGAGGGTTCCATGAATGCACAAACAAATGCTCCCTGACAAACAGTCACTTTCAGCGGCTGTACCGGGGGCCTCTTCTACCACACCAGCGGTCAGACTTTGATCATGGCATTGTGGTGGGGAGGGGGCTGGATGGGGTTTGTTCCTCACCCGGGGCAGCACATGGTGACTGAATGAGACTGCTGCTCTGGTAATGGGCACGGCTTTGGCAGCAGGAGCTTCTGAGAACACAGCCACTGAACTGGAGCAGTTCTGGCAGCACCCAAGCATAAAGTATAGCTTAATTGATGTCCATCCCGTAAAAAAGAAAATGGCCTCACAGAATGGGGGTCAGCAGGTCAGACCAATCCCAGACCGCCCGAGGCCCGTGGACTCGGGAACTGGCCCACAGCATGCCAACTAGAACCAGTGCCAGAGTCCGATCCGGGCAATGATCCATGACACCTCATGTGGAAGAATGTGGATGAATATCTCACCCTGCGTGATGTGTATTTATTCACCAAGTAGGACGTTTTACTCACAGAAACATTATCTTTGTGTCGCAAAGGCTGAATGGTCGTTTTCATGTGGGGGTGGGGGGGGGGATTAGTTGTGGATCATTCAGCCGATCCTCCGCATCCCAAAGCCCGGAGTTTGATCAAATGGTTTTTATTCAGAGGGACAGATTAGTGTCACCAAACTTTACATGAATGCCCAAAAACAGATGTTAAATCCTTCCACAGTGATATTAAACATCCCATAAAATTTTCATGAGACATTTTGACGCAAGGTTTCACATCCTCGATGCAGGACTAACCTAACAATCAGCTGGCTGGCTAATAAATCAGAGTGTCTGTACAGATAGTGATTTGCTCGACAGCCTTTTCCGCTAAGTAGACTCATGTGCACGTCACTGAAGAAACCTTCTTTACCTACTGTGTGTGGGAATGAGAGACGATGTCATTAATCTCTATGGCTATCCAAAAAGGATGTGGAATGACTGCATTAATCTCCAGAGCTGACCAATAAGGATGAGGCAGCACAAGGATCAGGCTTAGCTAAGCTTCCTCTGGTGGCAGTTGGAGAAACAGAAAGCGGTGTCTGAATACTAAACCCAGGGGAAGCTGCAGTGAAATATCACTGTTTGTGCGTAGTACAGTAAAAATCTGCAAGAACTTAAAAAGGTCAGTCTGCACAATGAGTTCCCAGTTAGAGCGATATTGTAAAGTTCAAGTTTTAAAAGTTCCTGCTTTGAGGTTTTTGTGCCATTAACGCTGGGTTTGCAGGGCATTAACATGATTAATGGGCTTTTCATTGACGATAGAGTTCACAACATTCTCACAGACCTCTTTTGCGAACATCATTTCCATTAATTTATGTTTCACTTACTTCTGCTTTTTAATATAATCAGTTCATTATTCATATAATTTTATGCTTCATAATTTTACTGCGCCACTATTTAAGCCCAATGAGCTCGATATATTACACTGT